GCTTGAAGCCGGGATCAAAACCCAACCAATTTGACATCAGTTGGAGACACTCACCCCTAAGCCATCAGCACACACTAGGAAGAAAGGATTTTTAAACATTATATACAAAGATATATATATATATATATATATATATATATATATATATATATATATATATATATATATATATGACAAAAATGTGAGTTCATATGTTGAGAACACCAATTAAACTATACCATGAAAACAAAAACTTTGAATTATCAAGGCCCTCTCTGTCAAAAGCAGCCAACCAGTCATCAGTCAAAAAAAGTGTAACAGCAATATGCTGAAACAAACATTTAATGTTATTTTGCAATTCTACAAATTTCCAGTCAGCTTCCTTATATTGGGATGCTTGTTTTGTAAAGATTTCCATAGCTACAATGGATAAATTTAAATTCTTTTAATTATTATAACAAAGCACATTCTCACATGTTTTTTAAAAATTACCATCACAACAAAATGCAGATTTTATCACAGTTACAATAAGTTTGTCTTTGTAATTTACCCCTGAAGATGATCTTGGAGGAAATTGAAAGTACTTGGGGAGGAAAAAACTATGATGACTTCCTTGATAAATTTCATCTTAACATCAAGAAACTGATTAGAAGATTGGAAAGGATCATTGTAAAAATAAATAGACATAATATATCTATATTATTCAATGAAACATATTTGAATATATATATATATATATATATATATATACTAGCAGTAGAGCCAGGCGATATATCAGTAAGAGATAGATCAAGTATCCACCATCATAAAGACTGAAAAATAAAATTGACAAAGATTATTGTTTAAGGTTGACGGACACGCATGTCTTAATTAGTTTTTTTTTTTTTTTTTACGAATTGGTCAAACTCAAACAAAAACATTGTTTTCAATCTTTATGAGTCTACTGATTGAATAGAATTTTATTATAAACAATTGTCTTTTAAATGGAATTTTTAAAGCATTCTGAATGTAAAAATAAAGAAAAAAGTGTGCAAGACAATAAGAAACACTACATGCCAAAAAAAAAGTGAAGTTTTGTTGAAATCGGTTGAAAAATGTAGGTAGCCTTTCTGTAATCTTTTAGTTTTACAATTTATGATTTTTACTTATTGAATACAGTAATAAAAATTACATATTTTGCTTGTGGTGATTCATAATTAGAATTCTGATTTGAATATATTTTCTACTCATTTCTATTACAAAAAATATTAACTTTATTTGGGTTTATTAATTATGATCTAACAAATCTTATTCATTTAGTAGCCTTTCTGTAATAATAATCTTTTACAATTTATGATTTTAACTTATTGAATACAGTAAAAAATTTGGACACCATGTGTATTTAAGGTAGTTTCCCGTTCCAGTTATTATTTTTAGTTAGGACTTGTGTATGTTTAGATTTCATTATCTTTCCCTAAAGATGAAGAATTTATCCGATGTTTGTATTCGTACAATCAGTAGAGATCTTTAGATTATTGTTTAAGGTTGACGGACACGCATGTCTTAATTAGTTTTTATTTTTTACGAATTGGTCAAACCCAAACTCAAACAAAAACATTATTTTCAATCGTTATGAGTCTACTGATTGAATAGAATTTTATTATAAATAATTGTCTTGTAAATGGAATTTTTAAAGCATTCTGAATCTTAAAAATAAAGAAAAAAGTGTGCAAGAGAATAAGAAACACTACCTGCCCCCCCAAAAGAAAGTGAAGTTTAGTTTTATCGGCTGAAAAATATAGGAAATCCGATGTGAGTTGTCCCCCTTCCATTTTCACGATGTCTTTTAATCCTGTTTTCAAATTGATTTTTGTGCAAAAACAATTATATTTTTCCCATTTTGGCGCTGTTAGAACCACCACAAGGTAATTTTATGTAGTCCTGTGAAGTTTTATTTGAAATCGGTTGAAAAATTTAGGAAATCCGATCCAATATATAAACGTTACAGACACACACACACACACACACACACACAATCTGCGTTTTATAATAAGTAAGATATATATATATATATATATATATATATATATATATTCATACATGTTTCATTAAATAATATAAATAAGTGTTGTCTTTTTATTTTATGTAAATAATTTTCATAACATCTGATAAGCTTAATAACATTATCATTAAATGAAGAAAGAAAATCACAATATTGATCCATATTTTTTAAGCCAATCTCACCTTTCGACTTACATAAGCCATTATCAAAGATGTCAATTACTGTACAACATATTAAGCAATATACGGACAAGACAATGATGATAGTCTGTTTCGGTTTACATGGATGATTTCTAAGCAACAATAAACATGTGCATTTAAGACGCTAGAAGTGAAAATCGCACCGCAGCTCATGACGTCACACATGACCACGTGAGAGTGAATTCAAGTATGGGAAGCCATTGGTATAAACCAGCGGCTTCTGTTACCAATTATAGACATTTAAGGATATTTGTCGAGATTCCATAGTTTATTTTGTTTAGGTTAGGTTTCAACTGTTTCATGTATATTGCTTCAAGGATTAGTTTTTGTCTATTGTTTTCATGTTGAAGTATAATTGTGTTTTCGACAAGGATTTTACGGAATTGTGTGTGCGGCCAGGAATGTTGCTTGAAATGCCTAAAAATGTAAGTGTTTTCATTAAAATGTAGTGTCAAGCATCGTGAAAGCGAGTTTGTGGTGTGACCAACATAAATATTATTTAATTTGTTGGAGATACAATCTCCCAAAGGGCACTTGAATTTATAAACTATGTTTGTTTTTCATAAATCGCTAACCGGGGGAGAAGAATCATTGAGAAGAATTAAGTTTGATATACTAGATTTAGTGTAGTATATGATTAACTTAATTTTTTTGCTAGGATCTGTTGTTGATATATTAGTATTTACTAAATTTTTTAGTATATTTTCATCTTGAGATTTCTAAGAAAAAAGTTTGAATATATATATATATATATATATATATATATATATATATATATATATATATATATATATATATATGTCTTCAAGCTTTTTAAGGTTTAATTATAGAATTTTGTAATATATTTTGTAAGTAGCCAACACTAATATTTATAAACAATAACTAAATAAAAATATTAACTAAAATAAAGTAAGAAATAAATAAACCCAATATGAAGATGGATGCTAGGCTTCTTTTTCATATATATATATATATATATATATATATATATATATATATATATATATATATATATATATATATATATATATATATATATATATATATATATATGTATATGTATATATATAATTTTACTAATTGTCACTCAATACAAGGCCTGAGAGCCACTCTAGGTAGAGGTTTACTGTCTGGAGTTGTGTAAGAGTATCATAACAAAAATAAATTAGGGATATACAGTTGAAGCATACTTTAAAAGGAATCAGAAACCCTATCTTGAAAACAAAACAAGAGATAAACCTCTTCTCCTGTTCAAGAGATGGTTGACGAGTGTAAGCCAGATGATAGGCGGACCTCGTAAGA